ATTGTATCATATTAACTCTCTAACTCATTGTTCATTGTATCTCATTAGCTCCCTATCTTATTGTTTATTTTATCATATTAACTTCCTAACTTGTTGTTCATTGTATCTCATTAGCTCCCTATTATATTGTTTATTGTATCATATTAACTCTCTAACTTATTGTTCATTGTATCTCATTAGCTCCCTATCTTATTGTTTATTGTTTCATATTAACTCTCTAACTTATTGTTCATTGTATCTCATTAGCTCCCTATCTTATTGTTTATTTTATCATATTAACTCTAACTTATTGTTCATTGTATCACATTAGCTCTCTATCTTATTGTTTATTTTATCATATTAACTTCCTAACTCATTGTTCATTGTATCTCATTAGCTCTCTATCTTATTGTTTATTGTATCGTATTTGCTCTTTATCTTATTGTTTTTTGTGAAAATTAGTTACAATCACAAAAATGTTTCTAATCGCATATATGTTTTAAGAATTCTTGATGATTCTAAACTTCTGTACAGTGTCTTTGAAGGTCACGAGAATACAGTGGAATCATGTTCCTTTACACCGGACAGCAACTACCTGGTATCCGGATCTTCCGATGGTGATATCCGTGTCTGGGATGCAAGGTTTGGTCAAAGTCGCTGTTTGTTTTATACTGGTAATGAGGATGTACATGAATTGGGAGTGTCCTGTATTGTGTGCTCGCCCACGTTCGGAACAGCAAGTGAGTTTTCTTTTAAATTAGGAAGGGTGATGAAGAAGAAACTATGAGGAGGGTACGATAGGATACTTCTATTTCTAACATTTGCTTTATTTCTCAAGATCTTACAATTATAATAATCTCACTTTTGCCACCAATGACAGATCAAATCATTTGAAAACATGTCATCATCCACAAAGCACTAGTTGTGTGAATCAGAAAAAAATAATTGGTGATATTTCACAGACATAACATTGTGAAATATCACAATGATTTGCTATAAAAATAATGCAGTATTAGACAACTAAGCTGAAAAAATATAGAAGAAATCACTTAAAATCACTTTATATGTTCAGCTTTCTATTTTCTACTCAACAGCCTGTTTCTGAAAAAGAAAAAAGCAATTTCTACTTCAATTTGAGGTCAAATTAAGTCAGTTTGAATATCTGAAGTAATTTCATGCTTCGTTTACTTTTTCAATATATTTGCTTATTTTAATTATACTAAAATGCTCGCTGGGCTTAATTTTAACAGATTTGTTTTTGCAGAACTATTCACTAGGTTTTAAATTCACTGGTTTGTGAAGAAAACAATTCTTCTATTTGAATATTCACTGGGTTTTTATATAGCTATCAGCAAAAATAAACTAAAATAAAACCCAGCAAATATTTAATCTTTATGCGGTATACGATAACTACATATAAAGTCCGAGTGGCCGAAAGCTGTTCAGATTGTATGAACCTTGATCAATCAGCTCTATGGTTCGTTGACAAATCTTATCAGAGAAGATTTCTTGCATCGTGATTTCTATGCAAATGAGGTCTGATGTAACTAATTAAAGTTAGTCAAGTTATGAAACAGAAGAAATCAAAAAGATCCACTTACTAAGACGAGATTGGAATGTCATGAGTCATCAAGTAGACAATACAGCATCATCAGGCAATAATATGTGCTTAGACTCGATAAGAATACGGATTACTCTAAATGCATCATCAGGCAATGATATGTGCTTAGACTCAATAAGAATACGGATTACTCTAAATGCAAAGACAACTTTTTCGTCACTTTTCACAAAATAAAACTCATCGTTTTTTCCATACATTTGATCAAGATGTTTTCCTTTCCTTTTGGCCCCCCAAAAAAGAATGATTGAAAAATTTGCAAAATGTTGCACCAAATTTTGGGGTGAAATTAGCTAATAATAATAATAATGAATTTATTGCATCCTTTAATAATTTCCATTGATTGACAGTTAATAAAAAAGTACAATACATATAAAACTAGAGTGAAAGTAAAATGTCAGTTATTGTTATTTCTGATTTCAAATATTTGGTATAAGTGTTCACCAACTTGTCTATTATTATGTCTTCTCTTGAACTCATAATATATTTAAATTATCTGGACATCACTTTTCAATTCTCTGGAATATGCAGAGAACGCTTTTGTGTAAGATAGCAGCAAGGGTAAAAGCATGCTACAACAACCTATATCTCATCTGAAAGACAAATTTATGGCTGTTGTGGTGTTGACATAATTTCACAAGGACTTTTTTGAGGCAATATACTACTTTGTGATTCATAAAAAATCATCGAAAAGCCACAAACAAAATCCATTCTGTTTGGGTAGAAATTGTTTATTCTCTGTGTACAATGCCCATATTTGATCTGTTTCACATGCTGTTGCATGTTCTAGGATTATATTTGTTCTTTTTTTTGTTGAGCCTCATAATCATGACACACTACATGGCATGAACTTAGTCCACGGCCGTAAAATATATTTCTTGTAGTCATATTCACTTTGGAGTGTTGATATAAAAATACAATAAAAACCGTAAAAACTCTAAAATCTCGACCACTTTTAATTAATTTGTTTTGAAAAACGGTTGGGTTTTTAGAATACAAAATAATGATAAATTTTCGGCCAGTCAAATTCTTTTGAGTGAAAATTCAACAAATATAAAAGTTGGATTGCGGTATATACAGTTGCATCACAAATTAAACTTACAAAATTACACAAACTTTTCTGCGTCGACATAGAAAGTCACGTCTCTAAACAAATTCGCCAAATAATTAGGTGTCTGAATTTTTAGAGTAGGCAAAATTTTAGAGTTTTCACAGTAAAAAAAAAAAAATACCAGAAAAGTGTCTGTGTATTAGTGAAATATAATAATTTCCAAGAGGAAACATCTAAATGTGTGAATCGTGGTCGTAACTACCGGTACTTGGTACTTCTTTCATGACAAGCAGATAATAAAACTCAATATTAAAAAAATAAAGTATAATTATTTTGTAAAATTTGTGTGTTTAGCCTGCTTCTTAGCGGCTCTTTAAAATGGATTGCTCTTTAAACCTTGCCCACATGTTACGTTAACAATATCTCTTTAATTTACAATACTTATACCATTGCCTGAAACAAACCTCCATGGATAGCCAAAATGAGAGGAAAAATACATTGCCAGCAGGCGTTGTGTTACTGCAGGCACAAATTTGTTTCATACACCTTGCAAGCAATATCGCAATCAATGTTGCCTCCACGTCTGATAACAATCAACTGGCTTCCTGAAAGCAACAGTGTTGTATTGATAGCCACTTAGCTGACAATATTATTGGATGGTGTATGAGACCGATTCGCGGCCACAATAACTGAGCGATAAATCTCCTTCACCACCATAAGTGTACTCTCATCGCACTTAAAATATTCACTGGAGGGTTTTTAACAATCACAAAACTGTACCAGAATTGAATAAATGCAACTTATCTCATATATTCTGGCAGTTTAGTGTATTGTCATGACCACAAACGCATTCCCTCTAAATTAATTTAAACTGAAATATAAGGTTTCTGTTGATGGATTAGCATTAGAATATTTTCAGATAATGTCATTTATTAATTGGCAGGTTGGATTCAACTGCTTTTGAAATTTATAAATATTTACAAAATTCTATGGAATGGATTTGTGGTCATGATAGTAATAAAGCAGTTGTTTTTATTATTTCGTTAGCATGGGTGTTTTGTTATTTTATCTCTCAAAAAACACTTATTTTCTTTTTTAGTAAGAATGATGAATATTTGACCCAAATTGTTTATAATTTTATTAAAACAGAAACGAGTGAAGCAGTTGATGAAGGCAATGATAATAGTAAGCACTATAACTGTATTCTAATTGTTCTGTCAGCTTAAAAGTTGTTTGTTAGTTGGATTCTTCTTCCATTTCTCCACTGGCATGTTCTTGTGTATCAGTAGTCTCTGCTTTTTTAGTCCCCGTTCGGACGCAGTCCGAAAACGGGGACTTATGTTTTGCCCTGTGTGCGTCCGTGCCGTCCGTGCGTCCGTGCGTCTGTGCGTCTGTGCGTCCGTGATCACCTGTATCTCGAACATGCATGGACCGATTGAGTTCAAACTTCACTCATACATCACACATTATATGGGACATATGCACATGCATTTTTTTCATGATCCGATTAACGATAGCCGAATAGCGGCCATTTTAAGGCCGAAAATGCATCAAAATCGCACATTTTCACCATTCCGGACCCGGATCTCAGTTATGCATGGACGGATTTTGTTCAAATTTGGTACATACATTAAACATAATAGGACCTTGATGCACGTCATTTTTTTTTTTGGATCGGGTTCGAAATGGCCGACTGGCGGCCATTTTGTTTTAAAGAATTCAGTTCTGGATCCGTATCTGAGACATGCTTGGATTGATCGAGCTCAAACTTCACACACACAAGGTACATCATGTCACAAATATGTATGTGCATTTGTTTCATGATCTCATTAACGATAGCCAAATGGCGGCCGCTTTAAGGCCGAAAATGCATTGAAATCGCACATTTTCACCATTCCGGACCGGATCTCAGTTATGCATGGACGGATTTCATTCAAATTTGGTACATACATTAAACATAATAGACCTTGATGCACGTCATTTTTTTTTT